CGGTCGTGACAGGAAGCGATGCAGAAAAGTGAATTGTTACAGGTTTTTTTTCTTTTTACAGAAATGTTTGGCTAATGCGGATGTTAGATAGACCATAACCATGCAATATATTATCACCGGAAGTGCAAACCGAAAAACCGGAAGTTGACTCAAACATGAGTAGTTTTTCATGAAAACTTTTAGGGAGGATCAGTTGTGAATAATTAAGGTGTAGAGTGAACATTTTATTCGTTTTGAGCACTTTCGTTCATGACTAAGTACATAAAGAAAACAGGAAAGTAATTCCGTTTGTTTTTATTTGTATTTACATATGTTTGGAAGCCTTGAGATAATTTTTGTTAATTATTTAGAGTAATCTTATTGAGATGACTGTGTTTTTTTTTCTTCAAAAAAGTCAAGAAAACGGAAAACCTGTTATTGCCTAGGCAATAAGTATCTAGTTATTATTATTTTTCATTTTTATTTTTTTGACCTTTTCAAATCGCGATATCTCAAAAACTACTCATTCATTTTCAGCCAAATTATCAGGAATGATATGTTATCTCATGCCATTTTTAAATATTGAAAAAGTTTGGAAAAAGTTACTTCCGGTCAGGAATTATTACGATTTTTCAACTAAAAACTAAAAAAAATCTGGTCCGTGAATGTTCTCAGAAACTGTTAAAGGTAGGAGTCTGAAACTTTCAGGTATGATAGAATTTGGTTTGTAGATGTGTGATGGAAACATTTCGTGTGTCGTCTTCACTTCCGGTCGTCACAGGAAGTGATTTAAAAAGGGTTGTTTTTTTTTTTTTTAACTTTTTGGTTTTTTATTATTTTTTATGATATTGATAGGCTAAATAAAGAGTCTTACAAGAATGCTAAATATGTAGTTTGTTTAAAAATTGATTAACCCATACTCTAAATATTTATCATTTTTCAATCTTAAGCGATGGTGTTTGATAGCGGAATGGTTAGCATGTTGAATTTTCACGTGGGCGATCCGGATTCGATCCAAAGATTGTCCGAATTTTTTCCTCACTTTTTGGGGCTCAAATATAAGATTTTATCAGTAAGGGGGGAGGGCTATGTCGTTCGACGTCAGAGCAGCGGTGTTTGACGACACATTAATATCAGCGTGTCTCTTTTACTCCCTCATAAAGAGTTTGCAGTTGAATTTTGCACTAATTAATGTGCATAGATGCAATTGTGATATGATTGTATATTTATATTGTTTTACGTCCCATTCGAGAATTTTTCACTCATATAGAGACGTCACCATATACCGGTGAAGGGCTTCAAATTTTGACCTTTACTCGGCACTCAGGGCCATTGAGCAGTGAGGGATCTTTATCGTGCCAAAGCCTGCCGTGACACGGGGCCTCGGTTTTTAAAGTCTCATCCGAAAGACCCGCAACTTTCACTCCAAAGTGCCGAGCGCATGGCGAAGGAACAGTTGCTACCTATTTTTTATCGACTTAGGTCTGTCGCGGCCGAGATTCGAACTCACGACCTCCCGATCACGGAGCGAGCGCTCTACCGACTGAGCTACCGTGAACGGTAATTGTGATATGACAAAACGAGAAAAACATGTTGGTACAAATGTATATGTAGCTAGATACCTTTGCAATTGTATCATAAATTGGAGAATTGCCGAATTGTATTTTGAAAGTAGATTTGTTACTTTCTCATGTTGATTGAATAACATAAAGCAATTTCAAATGAGAGAAAAATAAACTTCAATGATATTTTTCTTTGATTTTAGTAGGGCAATATTCCTTTATAGATGGAAGTTATTGAACATAATAGGTATCAGATTCCTTGAGCGTCATGTGGCGAGACGTGTTTTGTTGCGAAACATTCCAGTCTTTTCATTAATGTGTTACTAATTGGAATAATCCACTTTGGGGGTAAAGAGGAATATAAAATGTGTAAGAAAACTTAGCGCTGCCTTTATGTTACTTGCCCGTATACGGTATGTTATATGTACACTGTGATAAATATACATTCTTAGGCTCGAAAATCAGGCTATAGCAACATATTTTTTAAATTTCATTGAAGCTATCACGTACACTTATTCAATTGAAGACACATTCCAAAGAAAAGGCACCAAGATTTACTCGTGATGTTTGGCGCGAAATAATTATCTTGACCCGCCTTTCACAAATAGTCTGATGCAGTAGTGTAGAAGTACAGAAAAATATTACACGGACATGTCTGAATTTGGAATTGCATAGAAGAGAAAGTTGAATGCATAAAGAATAAAGGAAGTAAACACAATAGTTTTTTTTTTTAGTTTTTATCAGTAACAGATTATTTTCTCTGCTATCAGTTATTGTTAAAACTCAAGTAAAAAATCCGATGTAAATCTACTAGTACTTGCACAAAATTTAGCTGGCTAGTTTTCATCCTATAATTCCACATTATAAGAAAAAAGATTAACCTGCCTGACACTCGTTACCTCAGGGAATGAGTGCAAGGTAAACATCGGTGATGGCTGGTACATTGCGCTAGTGTAGTGGTATAAATGTTAAAGAACAAGGTTCACTTAGGGCCTTTTTTTTGGCCCTGTGAATTTTAGAAAAACTGAAACTGCTTGGTTTTAGTTGACAATGCATCAAATATCATTTAGACCTTTGATGACTGCGTATCTATCAAAAATGAGGTAATTTTCTGGCTAGCCAATGCATTATGACGTCATGAAATGCGTCATTTTCCTCATATCGTGAAAAATTCTACAAAACAGCCAATTTTTAAAGCTATTTTTCGATATTTAATATAGAGCGTAACCTCCAATCTTAAATATGCAACTATAAAATGATAGAACTATTTCTGAGGATTACAAAACCTGTTTTATTTTTTAGATCAGAGGGTGCGCTCATATTATTTCTCTTCTGTGAAAGTACTCAAATACATGTATACTTATTTCCATTAAAATTCAAGAATATTGCAATTTCATGAGCCCTGTTTTCCAAGACCTTGGCTATAAGGAGAAAAGTTTTAATAGGAAATGAAAACACTACGTCTCTACTTTATCTTGTTGTTTAAAATGGAACATAAAGTGTTAGTCAATAAATTGGTATATCTACAGGGCCATTTTATGTATAAAGTGAACCTAGCTCTTTTCGGGCAGCCGATCTTGGTTTAATCCCGACTATATCTGAATTTTTTGCTTAAATTTACGTTCTCATCTTTAACAATGATGTTGAACTTTGTTTTTCTCTTTGTGAATTCTGTGCTCTTTTTATTATTATTTTTTTTAATAAATGAAAAATCTTTTTAAAGACCCATGTTAAATTTTTAGGTGTCTTCACAACGAGCAGATATGAATGTAATTTTACGTGCAAAGAGTATCACAGTTAATAATGGCTATTCGGACGGAAGACCTCTCGTTGCTCTCAACGAGTATCTAGTTCCTTCTATGATGTTATAACCTAATTTCCAATAATTATATTACAAAATACTAGTACTCTATCCTATAAATGAAGAAAGCAATGAAAAGTTATTGTCCTTAACACAGTATTCTTAATTATTTTAATAGTTAATAAAATAATTGTAAATGCACATTATTTACACACCAGAGTTATACAAAAACAATGTTTTAATTATCACTGAGAGAGAATGATCATTCAAAACGGGATAACTTTCTCGTTACAACAGGATAACGAAATACTAACACGTTATAACAAGGTTGTCTACTCGTTTCAAACATTTTTTTATCTTGTCAGAAATGAGCCTATCCAGATTCACCTTGAGATTTTCTTTCTTTTTTTTTTTCTTTTTTTTTTGCAACAAACATTTAACATAGAAAGGAATAAATTAAGAAGAAGTTATGTTAGAAGACGTGTCAAATTTCCTTCTGGATAAAGAAAAACGATTAAGTTCGTTGTCAGAAAATTCCCTAAACTTTTTTTATTTACAAAGTATCATATAAGGAAATTTAGTTATTTATTTTATTTATTTTTTGATTTCAACATTCAACATTTCGAAAATCAGTAGCATAGAATTTCTTCTTAATTTTTTTAAAGAAAATCATTTTCAACGATTTTATTTTCAAAGAAATTGGATAGTAATGGGCTGATAATGGAAGATATCATAGGAAATTATACTGACAAGTAAAGCATAACATTTCTTTATGTTTCAGCTTTAAATATCATGGGAAGCCTGCATGAAAAAGAGCACGCAGATTTTCCTTCTAATTTGCATATAAATTTGAAAGAAAAAACTTCGAGCACTTTTTCATGCATATATACACGCACAAAATGGTACAATGTATAAAACTGTTAGTTCTTACCAATTCAAGTTGCAAAACTGTTCAATTTATTTTAGACAATGTTTCTGTACACTGGCCATAAAAAAAAATATTCGAAATATTTGCCCTTAATTGTTATCATTGATTTAAAATTGTACATCTGCATGAAGATACTGTAAAACACACTTATAGCGAACACGCTTATAATGAATTGACTATTACATCGAAGTGATTTTCATTCCCCATGACTTTAAAATATATTGTAAACTTAACGGATATAACAAATTCCATCCCATACACATTGTTATAAGCGTCTTTTACTGTATTTTACTCACAATTTTGCATTCCGACTTTCTTTTATACAGAAACATTACTAGAAGAGCTTTCATCAGTTCCTTTCATGGCCATAGTAAAATATATATTATGTTTAAGACAGAGAGAGGAGAGAGAAAGGGGGAGTAAGTAATTTTTTTTCCATTCATTCCTGATCTTTCTTTTTAACCTAAAATAGTGATGAGTAAAATTACTGTACAGCAACTGGATTTCAAAAATAACCTTTTAGAATAATTAGTAATCTTTCACGAACATTACTTTTCTTCAAGACCTCCAGACACTCCGTGCAGTTCTCCATGCCTGTGCTAGTATACTTCATTTGATAATTAAAGCTGAGACAATAAAATGTGTGTGCTTTTTACTTTTACAAAAATTAGATACTTTTAGCATTTAATAAAAATGTCACTGAAGTTAAAAAAAAAATTCACAAAGTCTGTTACAAGTTTTGATATTAAATTTTAATCTGCTTCATAAAGTGTTACATTCCTTTTCAACAAAGACACACTGTCTGAAACTATTGAAATTCATGCAAGTAAAAGAAAGAACTATCCAAATTTGTATTCACAGATCTTAATCCGTATAAATACTAATAATCTCCAGCTGCAGAGCATTATATAATTATAGCTATCCAAATCTTCCTCCCACCAAATTCCTTCCAAAACTATACGGTATGGTTCTGGTTGTATTTCTGTATTTGCCCCAGGCTCCAAGTGGGACTACCACAACAGTGGTGTTATCTTCTGTCCCAAACTGCAGAGCTTGATCTGTGATGAAAGTGGCGGCATCCTTGGGGTTTTGACAAATACCTACTATGTCCACAACCTCATTGTCATTTAGAACAAAGTTCAGTCCATCAGAACTAAGAATCAGAAATCCATCTTTTCCATGTTTTAGCTTCAATGATAAAGAACGAGAAAAATAATTCTCTGCATTCTGTTCTGTGAAATCAAAAGTGAAATACTTGGATTTTTTTAAAGGAGAATAAAATACGTAAAAATGTAGTTTAACTTTTATCAATATTTTAAAAGTTCAAGTAGAAACCATATAATAAAACAAAGTGGTGTGGTATACACATGTATATTGAAACTAAGATAGCTAGTGCATGATAAACATGATATAATTTTGCAGAATGTATTCATTAGACAGTTCATTCATACATGCATCCTGCTTTCATAATCTGGAAAGGCCTCCAGAGTCACTGAAGCATAAATGAAAGTCAAAAACGGAATTCAAAGCATGTATGCACTGTACAGAACTATCTTCAGAATCACCATTTTTGGCACTTTGATATGTACAGCAACATGTGATTTATAATTACAGACTTATATAGTCTTTTAATTCTACATGGAGAGGGGGAATAGGTTTCTGTGAAATTCAGTATTATATCCCTTCCTATTGATACGGAATTCATTGCAAAGGACACAAAATAAACTATCTCTAAGAAATGAAACACTCTTCAACAAGTCATACTTTACTGATATTTTTATTCTGTGTAATTCATTCTTAAACCAGACATGTTGTGTGCATTGTCAATTAATTAAGTTGTGAATTAAGAATTTGTGTACCATCCACTAAAATTAACATTTTTAATTCCTCTACAGTACAGGAAAAAAAAAATATTTGAGATGGTGACCATTTCAAAGGGCTCCACCTTTAGTGGGGGACAAAATAGATGAAAGGGACTTGTAAATGACTATATTAAGATAGGGCCATATTTTTGCACTAATTTGTCTCTGTGTTGAAAAGACAAATTGCTATTTGCATATTCTTTCTAAAAGTATTTACCTTTCACTTATTTCCAACACTGCATACCTTTTACCCAAAGCCACTTTTTGGGTGAAATATTAGTCACACTGGTCCAAGGGCAGAAAAGATATACTATATACAGAATTTTACACAAAGGTCTTTGATCTTAAATTCTTACCCTTTTTTACAATGACTTCTGCTTTGACCTTAATGTTGTTGCCTTAATGTCATTGCAAACACTTCACTCATGAGCATTCATTGATTGAAGTGTGATCCAGAATGGACAAAGGAGAGAGAAATTATACTCACAACAAGGATTTTTAAGCTGAATTCATGTTCCTCTTTATACATTATATTAGGTATTTATCATGATTCAAATTCAATCAATGTCAGTGCAAAAAGTTCATGAAATACAAGGAAGAAGAAAAATTGTATCTCCCTGCATACTTGTTTATTTGCCACCTTAAATCTATGCTGAGGTAATACAGTTGTTCTCAGTTGTTAAAAAAGCTAAATGCAATAAAATCTCACAATTACATATTGCCAATTAGACAAGCCTAAGTAAAAACTGTGAATTTTACTATGACAGCTTCAAACATAGAATCAACTGTGATATAACTTAAAGAGATTCTAACTCTCCCACTATTTTTTCTCATTTTATTGGTGTTTACAAAATGCTTGGAAATTATTTTTCTCAATCTTTAATGGGGCAATTATCACTTACCATATGTTTACTAACTGTTCACAAATGTACTTTTATGGTCCAACATATTTAACAATTCCTTTGTTTAGTGGCAAAATTAGAAAGCATTGAACCTTTTCTTCAAAATAAATGATCATCTATTGATTAACATGAGGAAGGGATGTACCGGTAGGTATTGAAGACACTTACTGTTTCTGTTTTTAGGGATGGTTTTGCAATCACTCCTTTTCTCTTTAACTCAATATCTCCTATACTTCTTGTCATGGACAATCTCCCATCAACCTGACAATTAATACATGGAAAAAAAATTATAAATTTACAAAAAGCACAAATTCTCAAAATTTTCAATTCTCAACAGAAACAGATTTAGTATTATTCATTTTATTTAGGAACATGTTTAGGACTTTTATTGCAGAGTTCCGGTAAATATTTATCACAAACATTAGAGAGTAATATGTTTCTCCAGTGCATGATTTATTTACTTGAAAACTTTGTTTTAATTAGAAACCAATCCAAATAATGTTCAAGAATTTGGTTTTTATTTGAATATATAAGGATATTCATTCAAAATTTATTGTTTCAGAAGGCCATGTTCATGTAATAGTACACAAATAAATATGTAGAATGTGTAAATGTAAAATTATGAATACCCTGAAGTTTAAAATTACTAACTTTTGAAATTCAAATTTTTTAAAGATTTTTCTTATAATATTCAAGATTATGCTGAATACAATTAATTTTAAACCAAACAGGCTACTGAGATAAGTTGATGTTTCATGGATTTCAACCCTCATTTAAGTCAACATTTTCTAAATTTAATGGTCATTTCGTCATTAGCAAATGCAACTTATCATTGGATCGCATTTTTTCTAACATATCTCATGCCAATTATTAGGCCTTTGCTTTTATGCTAAATTTGGCTATGAATTATTACGACTACCTGATCAATACATAGGGCTCATTGCAAGTGTGACTGGTTAAAAGGGGATGCTGGCTCCTCCTACGCACCTGATCCCACCCTGGCATTTCCAGGGGTTCGAATGTTATCCCTGTTCACAGATTTGTTTGTAGGTTTTTTTTTGGAGATCCATCACTGTTTGTTATCTCCACTTATGACATTCCTAGGTAAAACTTTAACTGGCTTTTGTGGCCCCACCCTATCCACAGTGGTCATGATATAAACAAACTTGAATCTACAATCTACACTACCTGAAGGATGTTTTCATATAAATATGACTACTCATAGCTTTGTTGTTCTTGAAAAGGAGATTTTTAAAGATTTTGTTTTCATATATATATTCCTATGTAAAATTTTGAAATCCTATTGTGGCCATCCTAGCCCCAGGGGTCATGATTTGAACAAAACTTGAATTTAAACTGCTCGAGGATGCTTCCATATAAATTTGACTAATCATTGCTTTGCTGTTCTTGAGAAAAAAAATATGTTAAGATTTTTTTCCTATATATTTCAATGTAAAACTTTTATCTACTGTGGCCCCATCCTACACCTAAAGGTCATGATTTGAACAAATTTGAATCTACAATATGTAATGAAGCTTGCTCTATGACAAGTTTGGTTGAAATTGGCCCAGTGGTTCTGGAGAAGAGATCGAAAATGTGGGAAGTTTAGACAACACACAAAATACAACAGAGAGACAGACAGATGGACATTCTTCCATCAGAAAAGTTCACTTAAAGGCTCAGATGAACGAAAACAATGGATGAATATCTTATAGAATTCACACCTGATCATCTTGAACATACCTGATGAACACCTAAACTATTGCTGACAATGAATCCCCCGCTCTTAGTGATACGTTCACTTTCCCTTGGGTCATCAGGGTTGTGATCTTCTGTTAATCTGACGGCATGACTCTCTCGACACAACACAGCCCTAGTGTCTCCTACGTGAGCAACATGTAGCTTTATCCCATGATGCAACAGGCAAACTGTTGCTGTAGTACCACAGTTGTACAATTGGGAGCCTTTGAAAATGGAAAATGAATGATTAATATTCATTCATCTGTTCTGTCTTTCCATTTTGAGCACATAGACCCATAACTGATTAAGCATATTGATGAACATTCAATTACTATACTTGTTCTTACCTATATAGTAAAAATTTATGTGACGAGTCAGCATATTGTTGATGTCCAGAAAAGACTGTGTCAACACCTCATTTAGATCGTCAGTTTGTCTTAACCAATGCTTGATAAAATATGGCAAGTTTTTAGACACATATTCAGATGCCAATTCTCCTCCGTGGCCATCAAATATCCCAAAACAAAGAATCTCAGGGGAGATTTTCTCAACAATATATCGGTCCTCATTCACTGTCTTTCTACCCATGTGTGAAGCTACCCCTACTTCCTCCAGTGGGATTTCTGGAATAAGCTTACCCATCTTGATGCTTTTTTCCACTGCAATTGGCATGTTGATACGATTGTTCCAGCTTCCCAAGGTATCAAAGTTTACACCCTGTTGTCTCTCTCCTTTGTTTTCTGGGTCACTCAATATGCCACCAGTTGTACTCTTTTTCTTGTAAAAGGAGTTCTTACCGAGGTGATACTTTTTGACACTGGTGTATTGAAGCGGAATAAATTTAATCCCAGCATTCTTGCAACTGCATACATGACATAGGATGCATTTTTGTAGTTGTCTCTGAATATTCATGTCAGTTACTTTGATTCTGATCTGGTTTTCAAAGTTTATTTGACTTTGGAGAACTTTGGATTATTTGGTTTTGTTATGCCTCTAGTTAGAATCATATTTTTTTCAAAATTCACATTTTAATTACCAACAAGTTAAAATTGTTATTCTCTTCTCCTCATGAGTTGAATGATCTGTAAGTAAAGATAAATTTAAGGAGTAAATATGTACAAAGCTGTGATCTCAAACAACATGTTTACAATGTATTTAACACCAAGGACTCTTTGTAGATGGGAGTAATATTTCCTTCTATGTTGTGTTATAACCTAATTCCCCATTTAATGAATGTCCTAGCCAAGAAATAAAACAAAGCAACAATGAAAAGGCATTGTCCTTTAACAGTGAATTCTTTGAATATTTTACTTACAAGTGAATAAAATAATTGTAATTTACACTCTAGAATTCTACTTAAACACTGTTTTATCACTCAAAGAAAATGATTCAATCTGAATCAAATCCATTAATGACCATTAAATGGTTACTATAAACTTTATATCTTAAAAGCTGCTGCAACTGTGTCTCCATATACATAAAAAAATATTTATAAAATGTATATAATAAGTTTAAAACTTGTGCCAAATCCCATTCTACTGTTCTTAATTATGTTCAAATCAATCATATCCAATAAAAGTGTACTGTAGATTCCTAAATATACGTGAGGAATTAATTATCGCGTAATTACGTGAGAAGCACCACTCGCGAAATAAAATTACTCGCTTTTATTTTTATGGTGCTTTAGTGTATGTAAAATCTCTAGATAAATCACCCATTCGCGAATTATTGATCTCGCAATTTGAAGCCCTTGGGCCATTTCGCGATATTAAGTACTTGCGTAAAATAAGGAATCTACAGTAATGCTTTTGGCTTTAGATATTGGCCTGGATAGCTCAGTTGACAGAGCACCTGACTAGTGATGCAAGGGTCACAGATTCAATTCCAGGTCCAGCCACACATTTTCTCCTACCCTGTTAAAGCAATATCCCTATTGGTGAGGTCACTTCACTATAAAAACATCATTCCTCTTTAGCTGGGTAAAATAAAACCCCATGTTGCAAGATTATTCTAACTACATGTACAGCTGATATGATAAATCATACATGTAGATGTTCTTAAAACATACAGCCTTCATCAAGTCCGGCACAATCTCTCAATAACATGTAAGTTATAAAGCTTGAATTAGCTATTTAGCTTTATTAAGCTATTTACATGAAGTTTTTCACAAATATGCTTTTTATATTTCTGCCATGAACTATTTAAAAAGCAACCTATAATCCCAGCTGAGACACAGCTTGTCTGGATATTTGGCATGATGCCTTTGCCAATAAGGCATATCAGTCCAAATATCTAGCCAAGCCAAATCCTAACCAAGATTGAAAGCTATGCAAAGCAAAGAGAGTTTAAACTTTGCTGCTTTTGAACACTTTAAAGCATAAGATATATATCTTTCTATTGTCTGGGTACCTGTTCACACCTAGTGAATGGCATCTTCCCAAATCAAGGGTTTTTGATCCGCTCCGCTCCACATATGTGGAGCAGAGCGGATCAAAAACCCTTTACTTGGGAAGATGAGTGAATGGTGAGGCATGGATAAGTATAATTTCTTCACATTGTGCTAAACTGTACAAATTGTTCAACTGAGATACAGAAGGTGAGTGAATAACTGAAAGAAGTTCATAAAATGTTTACATATTATAACATCAATTTACTCCCCATATAAGTCAAGAATTTAACATTAAGTAACCTTCTATTTTAGTAAATAAAAGTTACAATCTTACTCTTATGGTAGTTGCAAATCACAGCATTCTTCAGTGAACTCAAATGTCTGATGTACATGTATGTGTGCCATAGTATATGGCAATTCAGAATGTTTTAATAAAATATCGATGTTTTAATGATAATAAAATTTCAATTTGTGTTCACTATGCAGGTTATTAAAGTCATCTGCAGCTGTCAAAAATGATCTGAAACTGTCGTTTATCTAGTTTTTAAATAGGGCCTACATGTTGGTAACTCTCAAAAGCAAAATATCAAATTAAAATTTCCTTTATTAGAGGAAGACACAAGAACTACATTTTGAATAGTAGATAGATATTCACATTAATTCTGTTTTATTCATACACAAAGTATGAATAAACACTTTAAAAGTCTATTCAAAAGATAACTTAATCAGACTATTTGGAATAGCTAAATAAAGCTATTATCTTGCTTATTCAAGCTACAGTATGTACATGCTACATCAAGCATGTCAAGAGGTTGAATCTGACCTGTACAGTATGTGTTCGTCTTAATGTAAGGATGTATTCTCGAATATTTCGCATGCAAACATATCACTATCTACTCTTTACTGCAGATTAGATTACATTTAAAGGAGGAAAGAAACATTACCAAAACAACTCAAACATTTAAATTGATTGAGGCATCTCTTGTTATGATGTGTAAGCATTATACGAATCACAATCCCGTTGCTTTAAATGTAATTTCGAACCCGAACGTCAATTCAGTAAAACAAAAAAAAAAAAAAAAAAAAAAAACAGTTTACTGCATTTCCATCTTATTTTTTCGTGTAGTTATTTAGAAATAATCTAAATGAATGGAAATCCACTAAAAGCTCCCAGGCACTTGACGTTTTAAACCTTTCTCTTTATTAAAAATATCCCCACATTAGTTATAGAGAAAGGTTTAAAAGTTAAACGTCAAGTGCCTGTGTAAAAACTGTATTGGGTTATGATTATTTTATCGTTTTAGATGAAAATATCTAATTTTATATAAGTCTTGAAACTCATGCCTATGAAATAGAATAAGCTAGACTCCCTAAGTGTATTTTATTCCTATATTGCACTGGGAATAAAGAATTTGAATAATGCGCAGTTCCATGCATTTTAAAATTCAGATTATTTTTTTCTCATAATATACATCACACACCATATATAGAGTTCGTTTTCAGAATACATTGGCGTCGGAAGCAAATTGAAAGTAGGGGGAGGGGGGGGGGCTAATTGAAAGAGAAAAAAAATCGGAAAAAAAAGCGGTAGCGGATTCGGAACATCTAATTTCATTTAGATTGAGAAAAAGAAAAAATATTAATTGTCCAGATATGCGAAAATCCTATTTCGTGGGGGGGGGGGGGGGAGACTTCTTTCAGTACCAATTTTTTTCCAAACCCTAACACTTACCCTTCTTTGACTACACTGCAACCTGTGCCTCTTGAAAGTGGGGGGGGGGGGCTAAACTTACATCCCAATGTTCAATGCCTATATTATATCTATCTTTGCAAAAAAAAGTGGGGAGGGGGGTTAAGCCCCCCAGCCCCCCCCCCCACCCCCCGGTTCCGACGCCTATGGAATAAGTATACAAAGGTCCGCGAGAAAAATTTAGCCTCTAGCCTAGAGGCTAATTTTATCCTTAAAGATCTGCCTATCAGTGCTATAGAAAGTGAAAATACATATATGATAGTTAAGCCTAAACTTTCACCTTACCTGTAGGATTGGGTAAAAAAAAAAATTGTAAGCTGTTGCAATCTTGATTAAGATTTGGCTTGGCTAGATATTTGAACTGATTTGTCTCATTGGCAAAGGTAAGCTGTTGACACGGTAATGTCTTGCATTAAGTTGAAGAGTACAAGCATGACATTTGTTGTATATTTATACCCCCACCCCCACCCCGCTTGGAAAGCGTGTGGTATATAATGATGGGGGTGTCCGTCTGTACGTCCGTAGTTCCTTCGTCTATACGTCTGTAACACTTGAGGGTACCCAACTCTTATCTGCAACACCTCCTAAATAAATAAATAAAATTCAATTAGACTTTCACGGAATGTTTTTTTTTTTCAAATAGTGCCATTGTGCACCTTCTATTTTACAATTTGATCGGACTGATATATGGGGTTTCTCACAGCAAAACTTTATTACATGGAGGGTACCCTTCTCTTATCCACAACACATCCTTTGGCACTGACTGAAATTTAATGAGATTTTCACAGAATCTTTATTACATAGGGTCATTGTGCCCCTCCTATTTAAGTATTTTTCGTTTCGATCCTACAGAATTTGGGCTTTCCTACAGCAAAAAATGGATTTTGCCACTATACTCATATGGGGTATCATTTTGCGAGCTCAGTGCTCACAGTACCTCTAGTTATTTCTACAATGCGAGAAAGATTCTAAGTAAGCAGAATGATTCAGCTTAAAAAATTTGTCAAAAGATGGACACAATTAGTGATTTCTATTGCTTAATGAATGGTTATTATATTGTTAGAAGCGCGCACATGTATTTAATTTGGCGTAAGTGCTTTTGGATATCATGCAGTACCTCTTTCACTTGGCGTTGCAGCTGCAAAGTATACGACCAATATTTCGCTGTATCTATCTCAGAAACTACAAGGTTTTAATGACATGGTAAAATGTTATCCGTCAACACCCAATCTGATAAAGCCCTTGTAATTTCCATCTTGAAAAGAAAACTCATTTGATTACAAATGATGTATGTAAACATCACATAATCAAATTTGTTTTGTGACATCGGGTTTGCAACAAAAGTAATCAAATTCGACAGCAACGATGATAGCTTTTATGTTTTTGCTACGATTAATCATTGATATAAAAAGAATTCTACAACTTAGGCAAACTGGATTACTTATCAGATTAGCATATAAATCCGAACTTTAATGTATGAGTTATTTGTAGACCATTAACTTAATTTTCATCATCATAAACGCTATATCAGTGGTTTTACGTCACAAAGATTCTAGAGTTTAATTATTAAATAGATTTTGTTCCTTTATTTCATTATTTATTTATTTTTTTTTTTATAAATTTGCGGATCGGAAATTATTCTACAAACGTAATAAATGATTCTGTACCATTTCTTCAACATGGTCGGAAGTATCTACTAGAGTTCAACATGAATCTGATAATAACTATTCAGAGTATTAGCTTAATTGCGATAAAATTTGTATGATTGCGGAATTAATTTATTATTCTAATTAAAGGTTTTAATGGTGTAGATTTTTATGTTTATGAACACGTAGTTACACTTCTCTAAAACTCGTAGACTTTAAAACATGCATTAAAAAAATATTAAACAAGTAATGGTATAAAGAAACATACAATGTAATATCATTTTCTAAGTCC